CAAAAATTATGAGGAAACTCAAAGATACTCACATCCCTGTGTTATTCAAGTTAGCTGTTATTTTCGGTTTAAATTATCCACTTCTAAAAATACAGTTTTTTGAGGTTTTGTATGTCATTTTTACAGTTGTTATTTGTCAATGGAGAGAAGTGGGTCAGCACAGGAAGTGCCAGTGACATAACACGTCTACTCTGCATCCAGATCTGTCTGTCGGTACTAGCTTCAAATTAATCACAAAAACAGTAAATTTTAACACCATAAAGTGTGATGATCTAGAATAATACACATGTACAGGATTATGCTTTCAAAGGAGAAGAAATGCAGGTGCTGTTTATTCCTTAAAGAATGACCCAATGATGCTGCAGCCGTGGGAGCAGGCAGGGTGCTGTGCGTCAATCCAGCTGAGAACCTCATTACCCATCTTTTGAAATATTTCAGCTGCAGAAGCAACACACTTACGTAACACTCACTTCAGACAAATAAAACAACTCTACTTTTAAAGAGAAGTGCTCTGTAGCTCCTCCTGCTGCTTAACCCTCACTCTTACAATATGCTCTTTACCTATGAACTGTGAACCATAGTAACATTAAAAGCAAAAAGAATGTTGGTCCTGCAAGGTCTCTTCTGGAGTGGGCAGGTTTCAGATCAGTCCAGAGCCAAGAGCTTGCCTTTGCTCTAGTTTCTATATGAGATAAAGCTATGAGATTTGGCTCATGGATAAAGCTGTTGTCAGAAATGAGATTGTTATTTTTATGTCTCCAGCAAAGTGCCTAAATGTGCTTCATGCAATACCATGGCACTGCTGCAGAAGACTGAAATCTTTAAGCAGTTCACAACACAGTTTCTGATGGATGGACCACCAGCATGGGCATCTAGGCATGAAACTGCCAGCACCTCCTGTGATCTCATGCTGCAGCCAAGATAGCTACTGTAACTGCTCTTTGGGAATCTGTAATGCAACGCAAAGAAGGAAAGCATGAGGCCTGGCAGGCAGGATGGACCTGATTCAGCTTCAGAGTTCTTGTATGTCGCTGACATCAAGGGGACTGCTTAGGGTCTTAATTGCCTTGCTGAATCTGAGCCAAAGAGGAAAAAAGTGAGACGATAAGCCGCAAGACTATTCAGACTGAGACATCTGGATCCTTTTTTGATAGGATGATTCTCCCTAACAATTCAGGGTGGTTTAGGGAGCATATGCCTTGCTTTCTGGCCCAAATTTAGCACTCATTTTGGTGCCTGTGTGATATTATTTGTGTGGATCGTGCTATTTATATAGGAAAAGAAAGACACGAGTGAAGTGCCACAGTGGGCTGTTTGTAGATCAGGGCTACATTTTAATATCTACAGTGTTCCTGCTGAGGTTTTACAACTGCTAGAGACATATGGACCTAACAGTGGCATATTCTCAGCTACCGCCCCTGTACCTGTGAGTGTTCTTGTGCCAGAATACTTATTCTTAATCTCTTTAAAAGAAAGAACAATATGTTCTGCAAGTTATAAAATGTTTTTATTAGTAGATAAACATTAGACAAGTAAAAGATAACTATTCCAATATCAATGTTGAAATATTTCTTTTTTTTTTTTTTGTTCTCACTGGTTAGTCAGAATCCATCAAGAATTGCTGCATTTGCCCTAATTAATGGCCCATTTTCAGAGAGGCTTTTAATTAACAGCTGACATTTAAGCAGCATTACAATATGCTGTGCAATTATTACCTGGCCTACTTCTGTGTGATTCAAATGCTCTTGCAGGAAAAGGGGAAAAGGTACAATGCCTGTTTTAATGAAATTTCATAGAACACCGTGGTAAGAGACAACTGAGAAAAAGAGGAAATAGAGTTGCATTGTCAGAGGGGCTTAGGTTGTCCTTTCCCAATACAATTTACCTGGTCCAACTGGACTGGTTGCCCCTCAGAGATGCTCACACATCTCTCAGCTTGGCCCCAGAGCACATATTTCTAATCTACTCCAACTCCTCAAATTCTCTGTGTCATGTCCACCACAGAGTAAAGCAACACAACTGAGCCCATTTTATAGCCTGGTGCTGCTAAGGCAGGACAGAGTTCTGCCTGGAATATCCTCTGTCTTTGTTCCACTTGTTGGCATTCCTGAGGCTTGTTTTCCAGCAACCCAGACTGGTTCAATTCATTAGCCATGGGAACAAAACAAAAACTAGAGAAGTTCACTGCTTGTGGGTGAGCTCAGCTTGCTGTGCAGCCACCCTCACTCCAAGGAAGGAGAAAGAAGCATGGAACCACCATGCACTGCTATGCAGGGAAAAGGTACTCATTTAAGCTGTACTGTAAGTTGAGCTATGTTGTGAAATAAGATTCCTGCTTGTGCAGGAAGGTAGGACATACATGAGCGTATTTTTGTATTGTATACACTTTGTGCCAGAACACAAATGTCCAATCAAATGATGGGGCTGGTAGCAGGGAAAGGTGTGACCAGGTGGCAGAAGCCTTCTGGACCTATGGCAGCAGCCATACCAAGCCCACTCCTGCAGCACTGAGCTGTAATCAGAGGACTCTGAGGAGCAATCACTTGCTTCATCCTGCCTCTTTAAACTGCTTTATATTGCATGCAAGAACTTAAAGGAGGCATTAAGGTTTAAATACATCAATATTTGCTGGGTCACCAAGAGACTGAGCAAACACTGAGCTGTGGCCATGCTGAACCTCTCCCCTACTCTCTGGCCTGATGAATATTTAATTATGCTGCAGCAAGACAAATAGCTTTTGCACGGATGCTTGACTAACCCAGAGTACATTGTGGCCCAGTGATCAGAGAAATGAGTTTGTCTTCCTGGGTAGAAGAGGGCCTTTGACACAGAATCAACACATAGTGGGATCATAGGGAGTTACCCAAGGAAGAGTTGATCCCTTTGTATACATGTTCAGTGGCAGCAAGTTAGTTGGGAAACAATCCCAGCCATGAGTGTTCATGGCTTTGGTTCATGGCAGGGACAGGCTGACACACAAGTGACTGATAAGGTTACAGTCCTAAGGTATGCACAGTGACTGTGCTGTCCCCAGCCAGCCCTGATCCAACGAAATCAAACCAAATTTAACTTGGCATGCAGAGCTGCATTTAGAAAGCTATGACAGCTCAGGGGTATTTCAGAGATCTGCGGTGGGGACAGGAGAGACAGCTGGGGTGGCAATCCTGTTAGCCAGCCTGATATAAACTCCCCCTGTGAACTGAGGCTGTCAGGCACCAATGGGATTTGGGAGCCTCCAGGGTTGGGCAGCTGATCAGCAAGGAGAAACAGAGTATCATGATCTCAGATTTAGAAATTCAAATTTGAGAAATCTTTGCAAAACACAATGCAGGGACCCAAGCTATTTTTGTGGATCTACTCTTTGAAGTGTGTGGCCTTTTATTCTTCCAAACAAAGTTGATGATGTTTTCATCCCGAACATTACAGTCAAGGGACTATTTAAGAATTGACCATGGGGTCATGTGTTGGTTAGTATCTAATAATTCCTGAGATGTCATTGGTTTGTTCAATGACTCTGAAAGGAGCTTGTAAAAATAGTTCCATGGAGCTGTGCATATATTGGAATTCGATATTTCAGTCTGACAGCCTTGAACCTAAGAGCGAGGCTTTGTTCTCTTAGCCAGTACACAGCCATCAGCTATAATGGAGTCGAGTCGGGGTCAGTGATGGGAAACAAGAACATGCTCAATAATTCAGGAGATGACCTGACTTTCCTATGGTTTAGCAATACAAGGAGAAAGTGTCTCCAAAATTAATGGGATTTTTGAGTAAGAATGAGAAACTGTTTGCAGGATTGTTTGTCTTTCTTTCCTCTCTCTCTCTTTTTTTTTCTTTCTTTTTTTTTTTTTTTTTTTTTCTTATTGCACAACAAAGCATGCAGGAACAAGTGTCACTGTCCTGCTGGTGCAATTTTCAACATGTAAGGGATCAAAGAGAATCTTATTAGTCTGTGTTTCTACAATCTTCATTCCACAGTAGTAATATATCCTTTTCCAATCACGACAATATACAAGAATGAGACAAACAACGAAAATTAAGGTCAGGCTTGCGCTCCTTTCTTCAAGCACTGCTAGGTGGCAATATGTTCCCTAGAAAACCACCAGCTTCCTTCCAGGCACTGCTCTGCCGTCCTCAGGACAGCCTGGGCGCTGCTTCATCCAAGCGGAGACGGCTTTGGAGGATGGCATGCTGAGGGCTGCTTCCTTCCCACGGTCTAATTTGGGACTGAGGATTATCAGAAAGAAATGCAGTACCAAATCCTGCTGGAAAAGTCTCCACAAATAGGAGAGGAAAAAATCTTTACACTGAATGACGGAACAAATTGCCTGAGGCATTATTTGTGTACTGGGAATGCTGTAACAAGGAAATGAATCCCCCTGTTCTATGAAGATATTGCCACTTAGGACTGGAGTATTTCATATCCCTACAGGATTCTCTTAACAATGGAAAATTAAAAGTATCTATCTGTTCAGAGTGCAAAGATTTTGCTTCTTCTAAATGTATGACTAACTGAAGTACTTTGCATGTTTAATCATAATATTTAATCAACTAGACCAACTACAGGACATTTGTATTGACAGCTCGGTTGATATACAGCTTTAATAAATGTGGAGAAGCACTTCCAAGGATATTTTTTTCATCCATGCTACAAACAAGTGAGTCATCTGACACACGTATATTAACAATAAAGGCCGGCTGGCATCTGCATATCGCTTTGTATGCACCAGATCTGCGCTGGAACCCCCATTTATGTTCCTGGGTTTGCTTCCCCCAGGAGGGGAGCTCAAGGCTCTTCTCTCGTTACAGCGCGGCGGGAGCTCCGTGGGCTAACTCCTCCGAGCCGGGGCCGTCCTTCAGCGGTGTCACCCAGAGACTGGCACACAACCTGCCCTGCCCAGTGCCCGTCCACCGCCATCACCTCCCGCAGGGGGCTGCCCCGATATCCGCCGCAGCCCAGCAGCCCCCGGTTGTGCGTTGCGGGCTCTTAGGGCGCGGCGCCGGTTCCCGGTGGGGCCGCATTCACCGCAGCACCGCCCGCCAGTCCGGCAGAGCGAGGGGAGCGGTGGTGCCGTGTTGTGCCGTGCCGCCGGCAGGTCAGTGCCCGCCTCTTCTCGGGCAGCCCGAGTTGTGGGGCGAGCAGGTGCTCCGCGGGGTGCCGGGCTCGGGGCCGCTGCTGGGGCCGGCTGTGCGGGAGGAGCAGCTCCCAGCCGAGACGCAGCCGGGCGGCGGGCCGGGCGGAAGGAGCCTGGGTGCGCTCCTCATTAGTGGGCCGGTCCGCACGGCAGGCGGCATCTGCGTGATCTGTTTTGGTCAGGGCTGGGGATCCCGCCGCCTGCTCAGCTTCACTGGAGATCTCTAGTGTTATTCTGCAAGGAGCTGCCTCCCCTCCGGCTCTGCTCGGCCCGGAACTGGGGTGCAGGGCTTCTTTCCCTCCCTTTGCTGTTGGTTTTGTAGAAGAAAAACGCATCTGCACCAAAAATGCTTGCTTTGATCAGCTGAAGTGCTGCAGTAGTTTGCAGCTGGAATTAATTCACCTTCATGCTTTTTATGGCTTAGGGTTTGGTGACTGAAAACCTGCTAGTGGTAATTTCTATGCCTGCGGAGCACTGCATCTGTTCATCTAGCAATGTCCAAAGCTCACCAGTGGACTTTGAGCTGTGTGTGGACTTGAAACCTGGGTTCTGACAGTGCTACATGGAGTCCTTTGCTAACAGAGGCAAATAGAACATCTTCACATCAAGACTTTAGAAATATAGCATCTGCAGAAGGTGAGGGGTTCTTGCTCTCACTCTCTACTATGAAATTCAGTCCATGTACTTACCCTGTGAACACGCTCAAGTGCTATCATGTAGTAGCATGTACTTTATTGAAGAGCTTCTTTTACCAGCTGTTTCCTATCCTTGAAGGCCATTATTTTTCACTGAACCTCAGATAAGTGTGATTGGTTTATTAAATCTTAAAAGTAATTGAAACCTGATTAAAAGAGAGCATAATTGCTTAGGAATGGAGAGACAATTCAAGTCTAAACTTTAGCCTGCAGAGACCATTAAAAGTATAATGCTCAGCAGCAGAAAACAGATAACTTGAAAATCACATAACTTGCCATCCCCAAAATTGAGCTGTTCAGTAACAAGGGAAAAACAAGGGGAAAAAGAGGCAGAAAAAAAAAAATAATAAGAGATCATGTAAAAGAAAACAGGTGTAAAGGGTAAGCCAGACTAAAACTGAAACCATAGACAAATTAACTTGTGAAGTTGAAAGGCTTTTTTTCAAAATGTATTTTGTGTACATGATTTGAAGCAACTTCAATTAGTTTCACCATCTCACTTGTTCTCTCAGCTTTCGGAAATATAAACTTTTTTTTTTTTGGCTGACGTGGGGAAATTGGGAGACCTAAATCCATTGTTCTTTTCTCAGTGGTACTATAATGGCTAAAAAAGCCCATATTTTATAGGCTATTTCTAAACTCCATTCTTATAGGAATTACAAAGCTCTTTAAGGATCTTCACACTGAAGTGAAGGGATTTTTGAACCTGCCTTGTCTAGCATGTAGGTACCAAAGACAATATACTAGAAGTCTGAACAGGGTTCAGCAAGTTAAGAGCTAGAATGCCTTGAGAAGGGTATGAGGCTTAGGTAGCTGCTCTTGGCTTTAGCAGGAGTTCCCACTTTGTCTAGAAATGCCATAATGAGATGCTTCTCACTTAGGGCTGTAGAATATCCCAAGATTTTTTTCTGTTTGTAGGTTATGTTTTGTTGCTAAGTTTTGTGCTGCTGCTCCCATAGCCTGTTCAAGATCTGCTTGCTGCTTTCTTCCAGCAGAATTAAGCCAGTTGAAGAGGTTATTGCCCTCAGCTTGCCTTAGCTGATAGTTAATGGAATGGAAAAAACCTGTCAGGTAAGGTGTTCAAGTAAACTTGACCACACATTGCTGAAGGAAAGAAGCATGGTGTATGTGCAGATGAAGTAGGCATGGACTCAGTAATCTTCAGGTGAGCGGTTGTGACGACAGTTGGAACAGTGGCCTGTTCAGCCAGTGCTGGGCTGATACATCCCACCTTCACTTCTCTTGCATCTTAAGCCAGGGTTCTCTGACTTCTCTTCACTATCAGGTCCATGCCCTTGTTTGATTTTTCATCTATGCTAGCCCTCTTGAATCTTGCAGTTTCTGAATTCCAACACTGGATGTTTCCTCCCCTTTTTTTTCCCCCTAACACTCACCAGCTACTATCCCTGATTTCAGACGGCTGATATTTACGATTATCACTCTTTTTGTACAAGAGAACTACTATACTTCGGATATATTTTTCCTTTGGTCTTGCTTTTTTGCCTGCTTTCATGCTGTAGAGACCATCATGCTGGTCCTCAGCATTGGGTCACCACTTGTTTTCATTTGTTAGCTGGTCACTGTGGGGAGCTGGTGAAGCATCTAGCAGTCACACTCACTGCGCCCTGGTACAGATGGATACCTTCCATGCTGTCTGGTGACGCACGTGCATGTTGAACCATGAGTCATCTCACAATCATCTTCAGTTTACCTCTTCTATCCCTTTCTCTGTGCCCCTTCTTTACAATTCTGTGCTTGTCACTGAAATTACAGCTGTTGGAGGTCTTTGTCAAGGTCTGTGCTTCTTGAACTGTCAGCTGCCTTTTAAGTGTTTGGCAGTGTCACATAAGTGTCTTTATAATGCTCTTTTGTTATGATGTTTAAATATTTTCTTTCTCTTTAGATTTCTTTTGTGGATTTTGTATGCTATATCCCTTTCTTTTCTGCTATACTTTATCTTAGGATACCTGTATCCAAGGCAAAAAATTCAGCTGATGTCCTTTACAAATGACACATGGGTCTGTGTCTGCATTTCATACCTGTCATCTCCTGCCCCCATGAATGGGCTTCTTTATTTCTCTGGTCTCACACGGGTACCCGGTAAACACTGCATGGTGAAAACACATCTCTGCATACTTTCTTTTTTCCTTATTTGTGTCAGTAATTCAGGCATTATTTTTGAGTGTTTAAGAGTTTCCCCTGCTTGCATATTTTAATTTGCCTATTATTTTTGTGTAGCTGCTCTATGATGCATGCAGCTCAAGTTCTTATTTGGGCTCCCAACATCCAGTTCTCTGGATTGTCTTAGTTCACAGGATCGTAGGGGTTGGAAGGGACCTCCAGAAATCATCTGATCCAATTCTTTTAAAGCAGGTTCCCTACAGCAGGTTACATAGGAAACCATCCAGGTGATTTTGAATATCAGCAACGAATGATACTTCACAGTCTCTCTGTCACCATCACAGGGGGGGCCTGTACCAGTGTTCTGTCACATTCCCAGGAAAGTTATTCCTCATATTCTTCCTGTGTGCCAGTTTGTGCCCATTGCCCCTTGTTCTGTTGCTGGGTACCACCGAAAAGAGCCTGGCCCCATCCACGTGACTCCCACCCTTCAGATATTTAAAAGCATTGATACGATTCCCCGTTAGTCTTCTCTCCAGGCTGAACAGTCCCAGGTCTCTCAGCCTCTACTCATAAGTGAAGTGCTCCAGGTCCCTCATCATCTTTGTGGCCTTATGCTGGACTCTCTGATGTTCTCTGTCTTGAACTGGGGAGCCCAGAACTGCACACAGTGCTCCAGATGTGGCCTCACTAGGGCAGAGTAGAGGGGGAGGATCACCTCCCTCAGCTGTCTGGCCACACTCTTTCTAATGCACTTCAGGAAACCATTGGCTTCATGGCCACAAAGGCACCCTGCTGGTTCATGGCCAACATGTTGTCCACTAGGACACCCATGTCCTTCTCTGCAGAGCTGCTTTCCAGCAGGCCAACCCCTAACCTGTACTGGTGCATGTAGTTATTCTTCCCCAGGTGTAGGACTCTGCACTACCCCTGTTGAATCTCATCAGATTTTTTTCCTCCCATCTTTCTAGTTGTCCAGGTCTCTCTGTATGGCAGCACAGTCTTGTGGTGTATCATCTACTCCTTTCAGCTTTGTATCCTTAGCAAAATTGATGAGGGTACATTCTATCTCTTAATCCAATTCACTGATGAAGTTGTTATGCTCATCGAAGATTTTGCTAGGTATATCCTGTACCTACTGCTCTGGCCAGCCAAATTCATGCTCTCTGGAAATTGCAGCTGGGTGCTGACTGAGGTTGCTGCTATTTGAGGTAGTGTGTTTTTAGAGATTGGAAGAGAACAATGGCATTTTCTAGGACAAAAATACTTGCTTGAGTCTTGAGGTTTATTATTTACTCAGTGAATCTGATCAATTAGGGAGTGTTTATGGTTTACTTATGGTAATATTTTATTTTTTATTAACATCATGAGAGGTAAATTTTAACTAAGCAGTTACAGAGGTTTTCAAAAGGACTCTGAGATATATATATATATATATATATATACACATAATATATTTATATAAAATATACATTTACATATATATATATATATATATAAAATAAGTACATGCACAAAAAATAGAAAATGCATGTCTGTGTATGTGTGTATTGCTCCTGTACATTGTGTATCATTTCTACAGTGCTGAGTTGTTGACTTTCAGCATATGTTTGTATTAATCCATGATCTTCCAGTCCATGGATAAGTGCATTAAAAATCATTTAAGTACTATCTGGGATCTAAACTGTTGCATTATGTGACAGATACAACAACTGGTTACTGATGTAGCTGCAGGTTGTGGAACATATAACTCTTGATATCTACCCTGGTGGCTTGTCTGTCCATTGTTACTGTTGATATGTTAAAACTCTAGCAGTTTTTACAAGCAGAATTTTACAAGCAATTGTCCGTAGTGTACTGTGTTGTCAGAAAGTTGATCGTTGTAAAATCATGCATAAGTTGTGCGTGTTGCAGATGTTAATGGATATAGCATGCCTGACTTTCTGAAATTAGACAAAAACTTCATTTCTGTAAATTATCTAAGTAGACAAGTATATTAAACTGAAAACTTCAGTCTAGTAAATATATCTTGTCATGTCCAGTGGCATTGTGCTGGTTAATGCAGTTTGCCCTCGTGCTCCTTCATTTGCACTACAAAAAATCCATTTGAGTCACATTTTGGATTGCGAGCATTTCCTACTTGAATGTTGTTTATCAGAGATCAGCAGAAATTCCTTTAGTTTGAGAGCACTGAAGCATAAATATCACGGTTTTCCTGAGTGATCAGCTTTCTCAGACTGAGCAGTTAAAATAATCCTGTATTTATTAGAAAAATAGTGGGTACTGCCCAGTGCTGTAAAAGATGGATTTAAAAAGAATAATTCAGTGATAATACCTTCCATGAGTCATTAATCATGAGTCATGATCAGCATGCAGTGATGTTTAATTTGTTTTTTAATTCGGCACTTGCTGATGCTCTTTATTACCATAGTGATAATATTAAAGAGCTGTTAATGCATATAACCACACAGTTAAAAATGACAGACTTGGTTGTTGGTTGTTTTTTTTTTTTTTTTTTTTTTTTTTTTTTTTTTTTTTTTTTTGTGGAATAAAATTTCCATATCTTAAGTCTGCTTTGCTTTGTACCTTCTTTGACATGTAAAGTCTAGGTAGTATAAAGGTGATCAAACAATTGTGAATTGCCAGGGACTTAGGTGAAGTAGAGAGACTTTTTTCACCTTCTTAATTTTTTTTTCTATTTTTGTTGTTGTTTTAGGCCAGTCATTGTGGTTTCCCAAATAATTATTTCTAGTCCTTCCTCTTTGGAGGGTTGGGGAAGATTTGTATTCATTAAAATTGGAAACTAATTGCTTTGTGTTGAGTCAAGCATAGTACAAACTAGAGTTTGCAGCAGGAGCCTGCGCCCATCCCTGTTTTTAGTGTTTGTTCTTTCTGGCAAAAACTAGTAGCTGGGTGGGAGTTTTATTGTATGAATGCATATGTTGAAAAATGAAGTTTTAGAGAAACACTTCATTTTCAGTGCTTTATGTGGATTGCCATAAATCAAAGCTGAGTAAATTAATGGAGCTTGTCACATTATTCCCTTATGTAGTAGATTTATTTATTTATTTACTGTTCTAGCACCTTGCTAGTTAAAATGAATGAGAACATGGAAGGCTGTTTCTCTCCTGAGAGCCTGAACATAAAAAGAAGAATGTGGCTAAGAAATTGGCTTTGGTAACCTGTTTTCACTTTTAAATAAAAATTATGAAGAAGCGATTTTACAAGCTGTGAAAGTGATGGCTGAGGTGTTGGAGATATTAGAATATGCGTAGATACAGAACAGGAGGTTGATGTTATTTGTGGAATTATTCATCTTGTATTCAATCAGATTTTAATACATTTTAATTAGCTTTACATACATTTTTATTAGCTTATACATGAGTATGCAAAAGATGATTATGACAAATTAAAACCTTGAATTTCATAAGGAACTTAGATGGGACTTCAGAATGTCTTATCAGATGTTAAGCAATGATTCCTTTACCTACTCCCATGTATATGATGTTACAATATATGGCTTTGTATAGGTCTTACCAGCATGTTTGTGAGATAACAATGTGGCAGAACCAGTATGAATCTGTTGGCATAGGTGGCTCTCTTTGAGTTCCCCATATGGCATATGCTGTTTTGCATTCTGTTTGCATTCTGGCTGCTGTGCAGACTCCTGCTCTGTTGAAGTGGGGATTGTATTTGCCCCAACAGAAGCATTTTCCCACTTTAGTATCCAATGATACAAGCTAGTTGTGCACCTAACTGGATTGTTTACTTCTTTCATTGTAAAATACTAGATTAAATGTGGGTATTTAACATGTATTTGCTCTTACATATATATAATAACGTTCTCAACAATTTTAGTCTATTATTAGCTGTGAGGTGACCTGGGCACAGTATAGAATATATTTTTCACCAAATTTCATCTCTATTTTTGCTTTGGTTCACCTTAAAATTCACAGGGGCTACTTACCAGTTCTGGAAGAATCTTGTTTCTGCCAAATATGACTGTCAGAGGAGGTCTTTTCCCAGTTCTCCAAAAACTGAACGTTCACCATGTTTTGTGCACAGGTTTATGAATTAAAAAGGAACCAGAGATAAAGACAGGGCTAGTCTAGCAATACAGCAAGCCTTTTTATGTGTCCTGTTCTTTTACTTCCCACTCTGAGTGGCTTCTAAGACCACGCTTTCTTTTTCAGACCAACTCTTCAATTTGGAATTTACCCAGCTTTTTTCAAATCGCTTGTAAATCACTTTTTCCATTAGAATGCTTTCCAAGTGAATAAAGTGAAGTCAAACATCAAGAATAGTGCTTTATGACTTCCTTTTTATTTCCTGGTGTACATTTCCAGGAATGGTAGATCCTGTCTGATAGACCTGATTTAATTCTATGTCAAGGTAGATGAAGGTAAGGCTGTCAATGTGGTCTACTTACTGGACTTCAGTAAGGCTTTTGACACTGTCCCCCACAACGTTCTAGTTGAGAAGCTGGCTGCCTATGGTTTGGATGGGTGCACGCTCCTCTGGGTGAAACACTGGCTGGATGGCTGGGCCCAAAGAGTTGTGGTCAGTGGAGCTAAATCCAGTTGACATCTGGTCACAAGTGGTGTCCCCCAGGGCTCGGTACTGGGACCACTTCTATTTAACATCATTATTAATGATGTTAATGAAGGGATTGAGTGCACCCTCAGTAAGTTTGTGGATAGTACCGACCTGGGAGGGAGTGTTGGTCTGCCAGAGAACAGAAAGGCACTACAGAGAGACCTGGATAGACTGGATTGATGGGCCAGTGTAAACTGAGTTTCAATAGGGCCAAGTGTCGGGTTCTGCATTTTGGTCACAACAACCCCAGGCTTGGCGAGGAGTGGCTGGAAAGCTGCCTGATGGAAAGGGACCTTGGTGTACTGATGGGCAGTTGGCTGAATATGAGCCAGCAGTGTGCTCAGGTGGCCAAAAAGGCCAATGGCATCCTGGCTTGTATCAGGAATGGTGCGGTGTGCAGGAATAGGGTGGATTGCAGGAAGCAATCCTGCCCCTATACTCAGCATTGGTGAGCCTCACCTTGAGTAGTGTGTTCAGTTTTGAGCATCTCAGTACAGAAAGGACATTGACGTGCTGGAGCAGGTCCAGAGAAGGGCAACAAGGCTTGTGAAGGGCTTGGCGAATGTGCCTTGCGAGGAGCGACTGAAGGAACTGGGGCTGTTTAGTCTGGGGAAAAGGACTCTGAGGGAGACCTTACTGCTCTCTTCCAGTACCTGAAAGGTGCTTACAATGAGAGCAGAGTTGGTCTCTTCTCACTGGTGACAGGACAAGGGGACCAGAGGTGGTTTAGGTTGGATGTCAGAAATAGCTTTACAGAAAGGGTTGTTAAGCACTGGAATAGGCTTCCCAGGGAGGTGCTTGAGTCACCATGCCTGAGTGTGTTTAAAAACCATTTGGATGTGGTGTAGGGACATGATTTTAGGCTAGTAGAGTTAAGGTAGTTGCTGGTTAGCTTGCTGTTTGGCTTGATGATCTATAAGGTCTTTTCCAACCCGAGCTATTCTGTGATTCTATGTGGTTTTTTACTGGAGTGGAGATAATGGAGGAATATGCCATGGGTGTGCTGGTACATACAAACAGACTACCAATGTTACGTAGCTGTGTAGGAAGCAATGGCTATGCTCAGTTCATAATGCTTTTGTATAGTTGCTCCTCTGGGGTACTCCTTTGATTCTGGTGCTCAGTGTTGAAATGAGATCAGTTCAAAAAGGAACAAGCTACTGGAATGACTGTGGAAAAACTCAAAGCTACCCAGGGCCTCGGCAGTATCACAAGTTGGTGGAACGTGACAAATGTATTAATGGAATTAGGCTACATGGAACTGAATTCAAGGAAAAGTTTTCAGTTTTTAATTTTTGTGTTCCACAAGTAATTAACCTGAGAAAATATTTCTGTAATAGTTGCTTGTAGCCAAACTGGAGATGCACCTCCTGAAAACTAGAGGATTTGGTAGGATTTCTCCTCCAATGCAGATGTTTTTTTTTGGTTTTGTTTTAGTTAGTTGGTTTGCTTTGTCAAGGGAAGGAGCTGAAACATTGCCGTAGAGTAAGCTGGTCTAATGGAATGCACAAGTATTTTACTGCATTTCTTGAGCCTCTTCCATGTTCTGCGTTGAAACATATTTTGGATAGTTCTTACAAGAAAAGATTTTAAAAGATGCTACTTTCTGTCTTAACTGCTGAAATCACTGCATAACATTCAACTGTTAACTTTGTGGGAGAAGATTCCAGATAAGAATTTTGTGAGTACTGTCTTTCAATAAATTTTTGTAGACCTCTGTGATGGGATCACTTTGATACTAGGTTTTGCTGTGCTTCTTCTCCTTCTGTAGAGGACTGAATTAGATCTCAAAGGAAGATTATTATTATTATTATTATTTTACTGTTTCTTTCCAGAAATGGCAGTTTTCCTGTGGAAAAACATATTTCATACTACAAAGGGGAGGATGCTACAGCAGAAAAGGGCATCTCTGTATAATGGTGCTCATGGCTATGACGAAGAATTGATAAAGAAGAAACTTCAGCAGTTTGCTGGTGGATCCGTCAACCTTTCCAAAGAGCACAGTGGCATTGGAATACTTACCTTGAACAACTCCCGGCTAATGAATGCCTTCACAGGTATTAATCAGTTGATGAGGATGCTGGAGGTTGCTTTCTTTTCCCCTTCCCTTTGCATAAACAAGGTGAAAAGCTGTATCTTATCATTTCTTAGGTAAAAGAAGAAATGATTAATTTTTTTTTTTAACCAGAGGTATAGTAAATATCCATGGTTCTGTGTGGTAGCTTTGCCCTGTACATCATAAATATAAGAAGTTCTCAATGACACAGGAAATATCTGATAGAACCTTTTTTTCAATGGAGGTGATTCTGCTGCTGTGCTCTCTCTTATTTCTCATTTCATTTTGCCTCTACTGCTTCAGAAACATAAGGTATTTTTACAGAGAAGAGAAGATATGATGTAGATGTATTTGTAGATGATGTAGAAAAGACAAGATTGTGTTATTGTTTTTTACCTAAAATTTTATCTTTCACTTAGGCTTCTGCAGTCTGTGGTAAGTCTCCTAGATATCTCTACAGTTACTCTTTTGTTTCTTCTTAAAAGCTCTTCTATAAAATCATTGTCTAACTTGAGAAAATGCAGCTAAAAGAACTAGCATGGAGATTGTCCCTGTGAATAACTCCCTGTCAGCATGCATGTTATTATGCAATCACAATTACGCTCTTTTTCTACAGGTTTTTTTTCTTATTTTTGACTTAAAATAGATCTGTGCAAAGTACAGCTGTGGGCTGTGTGTTCATAGCTTACTTGTTGTGGTAGTTGAAAGGGGAATGAGAAATAAGCTGCAATAGAAAGAGAAAAGACAGAAAAATCGCAGTCTGCTGTGGAGATCAGGTGTGATATAAGCCATGTTGCTTAGACTAAACTTAAAACTGTGTTCTTTGTTTTCTGCTTGCTTGACATGAGAGTCTCAGAAGTGATATGTAGAAGTGTTAAGCAGTCACAATTGCTATTTAGGCCACTGGTAGCTATGTTTTGACTATACTGAGTGCTATATAATGTTAATGTTCTGAAATCACATCACATACCTCAAATCACAGTCAAAATTAGCTCATATTTTGTGTCTCAGTTAGTGTTCTGTAGTGTAATCTCTCTTCATGTGATTGCTATGAAAATAAATTATTAGTATACACCAATAGCTTATGTTCTAGTGGCTAACAAGAAGCTATAAAAACCCAGGAGGAAATAAATAGCTGTGTTTTTGTAGTGAACCCAGATTAGAAAATGAGCCTGGGACCAGGCAGTACTGTTTTTATCATAGTATGTAGAACCTTGTAGAGAGCAGTATTGCATCTTGCTACGTGATAGCAACAGAAATTTGCTCTGGGAGATGTTACTCTGTCAGTTTAGGAGATTACTGCTTCTTTTGACTGTGCATCTTTGCCAGAGATTTTTGCTGTGACAGCTGAGAGTGCAGAAGCAGAGTCATGCTGGCCCCTTGGACACTGCAAATGATGATATGGCCTACTAATGTACACTGCTCTTCATTTCATTTTAACATTACTGTCTGTAAGCTGTAGATAATGAGGAACTAGTAAGCAACTTATCATTTTCAGTTTGCTGTATATTGAGTAATACCCTTCAGGAGAAGTATGAAAAGGAATAGGATGAGCAAACCTTAAATTGCTACAACAAGACCTAGCTGTCTTCATTTGCCAGAGCCTGTAAAACGCAGTGCCTGAATGAAATACTGTTGATGCTGTATCTCAGAGCTTCTTGAAAATGGCAGATGTGAATTCGCGATACATGTATGCTTCCTTTAGAAAGATGCAAAACATAATTAAACTGTTGAGAGAAATCCTGTTTGCCCAGGCATTTATTTTACACAGCAGCTTTTTATCTCAAAGGAGAACTATGTTTATTCTAAGCTCAAGCAACACACTGAACTGAAATTAGAACAAAATTATTGGCAAATTGCTAATGGGCAATGTGGAGGTTGTTATGCATTTTTTCTCTTCTTAATTGGAATCTGATAGCTACCTGTTTGAAATGGTTTCTTTGGAAACAAGTGTTAATAATGTCAGTTCAAGCCTAGTGGAACCAATTTCAGCAGCCCAACTTCTTTCTGAACTGAAGTTGAACTTCATTTAAGGTAGAAAGAAGGTAGTCTGCGTGAACTAGATAATAATGGTGATGAAGTCAATTATAGAAAATAAATTCAAAGTATTTATTGTTGGATTATAATTAAAATGCAAACAAGTAATTTATTCCAAGTAGATTTAGTGCCGTGTGGAGAATGAACTTACTGGTATCACATAATGAAGGAGTAAGACTGGCAGGATGAGTATTTTCTTTGGTATTGTATTCTCATGCATTGAATCAAATAAACTTGGTAGTGTCTGTTGATGAAGTAATAGAATTAATGGTAGTTGTCAGTGTACACAGCAATGGAAGAGGTGATCTCCCTGGAAGGGAAGCAGTTGCTGACCTTCTTCTCTAGTCTCCCCTGCTATTGCACGCAATAGCCTGATACAGTTCTTTTTTGTATATTCAGTTTTTCAGTGTTAACTGATTAAAAACTAGATGTTTAACTCACAATACTCTGTGGAAAGACTCAGTAGCTTGCTGCTCTGATTATTTAGAGCACCACAAATGATTGTGCTGTATCTTGACTTTGGCAAAGATTTGATGTCAGTCAAAATAACTTTATTATAAGAAAGCTTGAGTTACATGCGAAAAAATAAATCCAGGGGAATGATACACATTTATTTAAAGAATATTTAATGTCCACTTAATTCTTGACTTAGGAACGTTTTCAAGAATAGGAAGACTAAGGTGGATGTCCTTTACAGGGTATTCTTGACCTGGTGCTAACATGCTTCCTTTGTAAGGAGTTGTAAGGAAAACAAGCAGGAAGAAAGAATCTTCCACATCAGGATGGATGCTATCAGGCCATTTTAAGACAAGAAAAGATCAGTACGTGCAGACGTTGGGTCAAAAAACCCAATAGTAGTAGAAGAAAGATTACTTGAGATATTAATCTTAGGCATGCTTATATCTGAAAAAAATAGTCCTGTCCACTTACATCTTTGTCTAAGAAGAGTGGTGCTCAGAGTATCATCAGCCTGTATGTATGTAGTCTGTTTTTTGAAATTAATTTCTGTAAATATTTTTGCCTTAAGAGTGCATGAGAGTCATACGCATTCAAAGAGAAAGATCTTGTAGCTAACATTCTGTAAATTCCATTGCTGCGGAGGATAGGAAATGAGGTTATGGTTTTAAACTAAAAAAAGGTGATTTAGATTTAACATTAGGAAGAAGTTTTCTAATATTAGAGTGGTTAGGCTCTGGAACAGGTTGCCCAGAGAAGCTGTAGTGACCCATCCTTGGAGGTGCTCAAGGCCAGGCTGGATGGGGTCCTGGGCAGCCTGGTCTGATGGGTGGCAGCCCTGCTTTAGCAAGCTTTGGAAGGGGCTTTAAGGTCCCTTCCAACCTGAATGATTCTATGCTTCTGTGATTCTAAGATGCTGCTGTCTGGGACTAGCTCTAGAAACGTGAGTATAGAAATCTGTGTCAGGAAGATTGGGAAAGTTGTCCTCACTAGTTGGTCAGTCAGCAACAGTTGAACAGGTTTTAATCATATGTTTATGTGAAGTAGATTAAAAATAGAGATCTGTAACTGTAAGGGAAAGCTTTTTTTGCTGAAGAATGAATTATTTTGGATGTCAAATATTAATTCACACTTCAATGTTATGTGGAAGAAGGTGAAAAGAATCACAGACACGGAATGTTGCAGTAATTGATCAAATTATGTATACAGTTGATGAAGACTATAGGTGTGGTCGAAAGTCTTTGGAAGTAGAGCCTGCCAATGCAAGTTCAGGGGATTGCTGTGGATAGTGCATAAAAACTAAGTGTTTTCACTGAACAAACTATACTCTAACCTCAGCAGCTTGTGATGACACCTCTGAATTGTTCTTCAAGCTTCTCAATTCTACACTTTAAATGTGATCTTTAACAAGCTGTCTCATAGCACTGATAATCTTCCACCTTTCAGCCTTTTTCTCAGTTTATTTAGAGCAGAAATTAATTAATCCAAAGAAATCGGTTTCATAACACAGGAGATTAGCATAGTTACAACAGTCTGTAGTATGAGAAAGTTCCCAAGCTAACGAATGAGAGTATTATGCTTAAGCTAGAAGTAAAGAGCTGGTATTATTCAATCCCTACATTTGAAGCTTAGGGTGTAATTTCCAAAGAGCTTTTCTAGGCAGTTACCATAGAAGGAACAAAAGAAGTTTCAGAAATATCTTTTAAAACTATTCTTTTAAAAGACAAATGTAATTTGCTTCTGGTTTCAAATCTTATTTTTATTATTTTTTGAATGGATGCTTGTCATTGACCTTCAACATATTTTGCTCTTGAGCCTTTTTTTTAAATATATTTTTTAAAATCTTTTCAGCTGAATATGTAGAGTGAAATATGCAGTGGTGCTGAAATGAAGAGCTGATCTGAATAGACACAAATAAGTTCAGATGTCCTGAATTCATGCAATTACAAACAAAAATAAATCGAGTACAATTTGTGTTTACTTCTTTGCACTTCATTGTTTAGCTTTGAGTGAAATACAAATTGCAGAATACTCTTTAGAATTCCAAGTGCATCGCTGAGTAAAAATAGTCAGTGTTTGCATGAGGGGAGACAGGAATTTCAGATGATGCTTTCCTTTGTGTTTTTAAGCCTTTCTTGTATTAACTTGATGTAGATATTGAAAAATGTAATGTGAAATGTGCTGGTCATAATTATTTTGTTTTAAAAGTGTTGCTTTTCCCCTCTTGTAACAGGCACTATGATGCTAGAACTCCAGGAGAGAGTAACTGAACTGGAAAACTGGAAGGATGGCAAAGGCCTTATCATCTGTGGTGCAGGGAACACTTTTTGTTCAGGATCTGATTTGAATGCTGTCAAAGCAATATCCAATTCCCAGGCAAGTAGTGGTAGAAAGACTTTGGAGAAAAATGAGCTTTCTAGTTTTCTGAGGTCTCTTTCAAACGGAGGTGTTACACTGTGGTTATGCTGCGATTGTACATGCAAGTCACAGGATGGAGCTTTTCATGGTTGAAAAAATGCTGGCAGCCCTTTTAATCCACAATTTAAGTATTATGGTAATAGATTCATAGCCCTGAATTTCTGTATTAACATCTTTTTAGCCTTTTCTTTAAAAAAAAAAAAAGTCTTTTCAGTTTCTCAGAACATTAGATGGATTAGAGTGTAAACTGACTCATAAAAAAGTGTCCTTCAGTAGCTTCATCTTTGAAAGCAAGGAGAAGTAATAATTTCTCATATATTCTCAGGCCAAAAATAAATTTGAGTAGCATGGCTGCTATTGCAAGAACATTTCAATTTTGTCAGCAGAGTGTCTGGACCTGGATAAAAAGAGAGATGCAGTTCTTGTCCAGTTGAGCAATAGCGTTGATTATGACCAGTTAGAGCAGTTGTAAGTTGGGTGTTGAAAGGGTAAGGGTTGGATGGCAGGTTTTCACTTATGCCTCCTTATGTTGACAACTTTCACATGTGCTGTTGTTTTGTTTTTTTTTTTTTATGGGTTAATATATGGCTGTTGGCAAGGCTTGACTTCATTGGCAGCAAGGGAAGTGGGCCTTTTTGTAATACTCTCACATCCTGATTTGAAATTGTGGTAATGGACAGGCTGGTGCTTTTCTATGCCCAGTTACAGGATTTGACCACACAAATTAGTCCTTATTGAATGGTTTAGTAAAAAAAATAAAAAATAAAAAATAAAAATAGTTTACCTAGTATTTTTCTTTAGTAATTGCTTCTGTTGATGAAATTAGGCATCTTAAAAAAACCCTGTCTGAAGTATTTCTGGCCTGGTAACACAAATAGCATGGTCCAGCTTTCAAAAGGTACAGTAGGCTTTGTTTCATCTGTGGAACACCCTGAGAGGTGTACTTTTCCTTATATGGGGGGCACTCTACCTTATAAATACATTTTTTGAGGAATTTTCATTTTCTGTGTTTATTAGCACTGCTCATTTTTAAAATAGAAATGTATCGGTGATTTTTTATTATTATTATTGATCTTTTTTATTCTGAGTTTTTCATTTTTTTGTAGCATTGTAGAAACAGAAAGGGAGTGAAAACCAAGCATGGGCTTTCTTTTATCCACATCTGCAGTCTACGCTTTCTTTCAGACTTCTACGTTTAGTAATTCTCCATGATTCTGCTTCCATCCTCTCTTTGATGTTTAATATTCTGTCTGTATGTTTATGTAAGTTAGTTTGAGCCACTGCAATGGGAGATAAGGCTCCTAATCTTTATATGAGACCTAGCAGAGATACTGGGCATGAGGAAGTATGTTGGTATTAGTTATAACTGTGTTGAAAACTTTCTCTGAGAATGTAGATCTCACACTAGGACTTAAATAAAAGTGCAAGTCATCAGAAATAATCTGAGAACAGTTAAACCTGATTGCTTTATGTTTCTTTTGGAGAGTTCAAATTATTTATTCTGAAGTGAAAGTTCCTTCACAATAGCACACTCCTAAACCATCTATTGGGATTTAAGTCTTTATTAAGTAAAACTTTAATAGAATAGGGAATAGCATTTGCTGCTCTTTAGTCTTGCTGAACTCTGCTTTCTAACTTGCTGCAAATCAGAGAGTTTTGTTTTCTTTCAGGTTAAAAGAAGATTAAATTTTCTATCTGCAAGTGTCTCTAAGGTGTTTTGTTTTGTTTTCTGTTTTGTGAGGCTGCTTTAGCCCGTAACTTTTAGCAATGACAGGTGATGCTCTTGAGTGAGGGCAATCCCAGACGTGTATACAGACTGAGAAGGGAATTTTGAGAGCAGCCCTGCCAAGAAGGGCTTAGGGATCCTGGTAGATGAAAAACTTAATGTGTGCTTGCAGCCCAGAAGACCAGCAGTATTCTGAGCAGCAAAAGTGGGGCAGCCAGCAGGGCGAGGAAGAGGATTGTTCCTCTCTTCTCTGCCCTTGTGAAGCCCCATCTGGAGTACTGCGTCCAGGCCTGAGGCCCCCAGCACAAGAAAGATGTGGAGCTTTTGGAGAGGATGCATAGAGAGGCTGTGAGGATGACCAGAGTGTTGGAGTACCTCCAAGGCAGACAGAAGGAGCTGGGCTTGTTCAGTCTGGAGAAGAGGAGGCCGTGGGGAGACCTCATTGTGGCCTTCCAATATTTAAAAGGAGATTATAAACAGGAGGGAAATGAACTTTAATATAGGTATTTAGCAATAGGGCAAGGGGGAATAGTTTTAAACTAAAGGAAGAGAGACTTAGATTAGATATCAGGGGGACGTTTTTCACAGTAACCTTATTTTATTTTATTCAGGAAGACTTTCAAATTATGTTGTCTGAGACTCAAGCTAGCCGATTTTGTTTTTTTCTCAGGGTGTTTTCTATTTAGATATTTTTCCATATGATACACAGTAATCGGTCTACTAGTTGAGGAAGACCTTTATTTTTCTCAGCTCAGTCATAACTACATTCATCAAGCTGGCCTGTTCTGGCATTAATCTTTATATACATCTCGAATTTTGGTATTAAGTGAAGTGGCCATCTTGAATGCAAGAACTCAACTGTGGTGAATTGAAAGTGCCTTTTTCTGCAGAGCTTCTTTTCCAGCCGCACCCTTGTGGTTATAGTATGGGAACTGTTCAAGTACATTTGAGAACTGATACCATGGATAATTGTGTGAGTTTTGAAGTCCTGATGAGAAATGTTAAGGCAGCTATCATGGAAGATTTTATTATCATTAATTTGGTGTGGAAATATTGCTACTGATCTTAATGGACACAGAAGGTGGCTGCAGTGAGTAACAAAAGCCACTGTTTTTAAACCAAAATACTGAATTGAAGCAGTATCAAGTTCAGAGCCATCCATGGTCCTATATAGACCTTTAAATCTCTATAGATGTTTGCCTGGGAGAAGTGAGAAGAGGAAAGGCTGTAAAACTTCACATCGCAGAAACTTGCAATTGTTTTAATAGTGTCTTAATTCTAAATGAAATTCTAGAAAGTGATTGAGAGTTTTGTTTGTTTTTAACTCAATCCATATATAATTTTTCTATAGGTTTTTAAAAAAGTTTTCTATTGGTGCTTATTGAGTTTGGGCTGGAATTTGAGCAAGATTAACCAAATTCAAACCTTTTAGAGTGAATATAATGAATACTCATATCTACTCTTTTTAATTGTGACACGTTAAAATTACTTATCGTTTTTAAATTTTCTATTCTTTGTAGGATGGGATGAATATGTGCATGTTTATGCAGAATATCTTAACCAGACTCATGAGGTAATATATTTTCTTTACCCTTCTTTTAAAGTAATTATAATGATTGAAATTTGTTTTGGCTAACTCTTTAATGAGATGTTTAAGCGTGTGATTTAGAATCCCAGAGCTTGTATTTGTGTATACTTATTCAGGTAAGTATTTGTGGATTTAAATTAAACTTTGACAATTTGCATTCTTAGCCTTTCCAGCGATTGGAACAGAAAAAATTAAGAAATAACCTGTAAGTTTGTGTATGGAGGGACTGGGAGGTAATTAGTTAAGGAACTCAAGATCTTGAAGTATCTTACTCGCTAGAAATCAGTTGTTCTTAACAAACAAGCAGGGCTAGCTTATACAGCCTACGCAGGTAACATTTATCTAATGTATTTATTTAATCTTCCCACTTCATAAGGATAACATATTCAGTTCTACCATCTGGTTCTTCTGTTGTTTTTTGTTTCTTTTTCTTTCCTTTAGATTAGGCTTCTTTTAAGAAATCACATTTTTATTGCATGCATGTTTGGTAGATTTTTGTTTTTTTGTTTGTTTTTTTTTGTCTGTTCAGGGCCCTGGAAAGAGAATTATTTTTTCTTTTCAAGTAATATATATGAGAAAATGTTATAAGCTAACTTTATTTTGTAAAACTGCCCTGGAGACTGGTGACTTATTAATACTAATGCTGTATTGTAAGGAATCCTCAGGATCAGAATTAGCATCCATTTGTATAAGCTGGCCTAAGTATAATAAAGATTGATGTGGCAAAGCGAAGAAAATGTATGAAGATTAAGACCTCACCTCAAGGGTTTTAACTTAGGGTATTTTACACTGTATTCCATGTGTGGTTCAGGTGGAGCACTAAATTGCTGTCCGGCCAAATCTATTTTACACGGGATCAATTTCCATCAGAGAGAGCTGAGGCAAACTGTGTGGTCCTGAAGGAAGTGCCTCAAACAGATGACTATGGATGTAGGATACTTGGACCATATAGTCTGGTTCCCTGTAGACTATAGGAATAATGAGATTTCTTTCTCCTTGTGGGCTCCCCTGTGTGATTTATTGTGTAAAGTGTATTGCAATAAGTGGACTTGGGCTGTAAGAAATTGTTGGTGGTTCTATTAAGGTAGAAATAAAACCAAATACATGATGGTGGTTGGGAGGCTGACTTCTGAATATATTTTTAACACTGAACAATGAATTAAATGTTTCTTCATAGTAAAAATGAAACAGCTTTACCAGCGTGAAAAGTCTAGGACTAGTTATCTTTATTTTCTAGGTTACTTAGCTTATCCTAAGTCAGTCACTGTTTATTAGTATTAATTTCACAATTAGAGAATAGGAAGGATTTATCCCTATGTACTGTTCCTTCCTTCTGTCCTTTAAATTACCTTGAATGTGATTAAATACAGCATCATCAAAGGTAGCAGATTGTTGCTATCCTCAAAGGATGTTTTTGTCCTCTAAGAAGTTTTGTTGGTTGAGATGGTAGCACTGCTGTTTGAAGAAGCTGCTGAGGTTGTTACACTGAATCTCATTATTTTTAGATAACCCAGCTGTGCAGTCCTTATCTATTGCTCTATGTACTATATCAACTTAGCGTTTAGTCTTGTATCACCGTCCTTCTTGCAGATAATCTTTTCAGGTATAATCTGTGGCATATATTTTTCCATAACTTAATACATGATCTGCTTTGCTGTGATTCTGTTAGCTACTTCTGTCTTGCTACTTCAACACGAGAGCCTGAATTAGTTGTGGAATAATTGTTTCTGCGTAAGTGGAGTTGGTATTGTGCCGATTATCTGCAAGCGATGTAGTTATTTGAATAAGATGGAGCAGTATGTTTTTCTGAGCTCCTACTATAGAGATAGTTTGTCTGAATCCTTATCATTTCTAGAACTTCACATGTGAATTTTGCTCACAAAACTCTCTTGCTTAGGTTGCCATTGATCAGCATTGCACTAGTCCAAGGAAAAGCTCTTGGAGGAGGAGCAGAACTTACCACAGCATGTGATTTCAGGTAAGATTAACAGTTTGAGTAGTCACCACGTTGCTTTGACAACTTAATGACTGTACCTATGAAATGTAGGAAGCATTAGGCACTGCTTTTTGTTGGAGTCATGTCTGTGGATTCCAAGGTATTTGTCGGGAATAACCCACTTGGCCAAGGAAACCTGCTGATAAACCTGGGGAAGCACACCAACTCAATATGAGTGAACAGCTTCGTTTATTGTAAACACAGCAGACCTTATATAGATACAGAACCTGAAACCATGGTTCAACTCTATAAATCACATACCTAGGGTACAGTGTTCAGACAAGCATGTTGAAGGAACAAAAGCGAGCATTCCAGAAACCCATTTACCAAGCACCGTTGCTTAGATACAATCTATGCTACACTCCAAGCATAAACCGTCCCTGGCTCCTAAGCCACGCAAGCTAGTTCGAGCATCTTCTAGAAACCCAGATTCGGATACAGAATAAAACCCACTGCAGGTATTAGGAATTAGGCCTGTTTGCTTGGTCAGTAAACTTCAGGAAGCTCCATCTTTTCCTGTGATAGTATGAAGGAAAGATGTTTTACTGCTCAGTTATATAGCTAGAATCAGTGTGTAAAACAAGAGCAGTGAGGAACTTTAAGAACTATCACTGAACTATCACTGAAATATTACTGAACTATCACTCTTGTTACAGCCTCTGTATTGCAGCATTATAAATACTTGGTAAAAGGTGTCTTGTTTGACAGCTGTAGTATTGGCTGGAATGCACCTCAGAGTCCTTTGCAAGTCCACTGACAGAAAGAGGATCGTGCTATCCCTAAAGAGGAGTTTAAGGAATATAAGCATAATGAAATGGAATCTTTTGGCTTTCTGAAATATATACTCTTACTCCAGCTATGTTGTTTGACATACTCTATCATTATAATCATTGTCAAGTAGCTCTTATTTGCATAAGAGAGCAGCTGCAGTTCCTTTAATGCGCTGCCATAATTTTTGCAATAACTACAGTTGTTGATCAATTTTCCACTGCTTTCTAACACACTCATCCAGTGCAACTAAATAATAGCAATTCAGAAGCAGCAAATGGGGCTTAATTAATAGCAGAAACAAGCTAGAGAAAAATACTGTGTGCTGTTATTGCTCCTGAATTCGATGATTTCAGTACTTGGCAACAGAATCGCAGTTCTTTTAAGGACTATGAGCAGATATTACTGGAACAGAAATTCTGTCTTGAATCAGGAGATGCCAAAAGAGGAACCTGAGAATGAATCAGGGAGGTTTGGTTTTTATCTTGAATAAACTGGTTAGAGAGGAGTGAGTTGTGGCTGCTTTTGATTCTCAGTTTTCGACTGAGATTATTTTTCACTGTTAAGCTACCAAAATGTTTGGTCCTGGCCTGAAAAACTTTGTGTATCTATACCAGTCTGTTCTGCATTATTTATGTTGATGTTGTTGAAGTGATTCACTTGAATGAAAGTGGCTTATATTCCTTCTTAGAAATGTGTTCTGGTAATGTGTTACAATCTGTACTGAAGTAGAAATGTGGACAAATTCAATTTTAAAATAACTGATGTAGTTTAAGATATTATTGGTGTTAATAGACTGTTCTTCCAGTGGCAGTTCTTGTGGTTGTCTCTTTATTCTATTTTCCACCAGCTCATTTAAAATTGGATTAGGTAGGTCTTGCATGAACTTTGGCAATTTATTGCTGACATAGGGGCAGTGATGGGAGGAGAAAGTATCTTAGGTTATTCCACCTTCTATCTGGAAGAGGATGTTTTCTCAAGGCATCTTCAGTCTTAGCTTTCTTATGGACTGTTGCAGTGTGGCTCTTCATAAGAAGCAAGATCCTTTTAAGATCATAAACACACAATTTGTTTTTTAAATTGTTCTCTAGCCAAGCATGAGGTCAGTAAAATCCTTTCAGGCTTTTTTTTTCTGATATGAAAATTAGGAAGATGAAGCTTCTGTCACTGTAATTATCTCACTTGTCTATTCCTGTAAATCTGAGCAATGTAAAACCATGCATGTGTCAAACTTGTTTGGGTAGCAAAGCTTTTTAGTAGTTTCAAGAAATCTAGACTTTCTTCCAGCTGCTGAACATTTTCTCTTCTGAATCTGTGAAGGCACCTGGGGGATTCTGCTGCCTACCATTGGTGTATGTTGCAGTTCTGCTCAACACTGCAGCCATTTCAGTGAAGTACACAAATGCTTGTAATGCTGAAGCTTTCACCTGATTCAGTGATGGAATTTTACAAAAAAGTTAAATGAATTCTATGTGTGGAAACCTGAAATATGTCATATATTTGCACAGTGCATGAAGTTAAGGAGCTTGGAGTTTGCAGGTTGGCTAAGGAATTTGGGGAAGACTTGCTTACAGTGGGTTTCTGGGCAATTAATTAATGATTAGGTATGGGGCAGAAAGTTTGATAATGAATCTGTCTGTACAATTAGCAGAACATGGTAATCTCTGAGCATATTAATATCAGTAGGCTAGCAGCCAATAGCCAGGAAAGCTAATTTTGTGTTCTGAACTGTCCTATTTCACACTGTTGCCTTTGAGAAATCTCACTGCTGTAATCTCACTGCGACAATCTGTGTAGGTCTTCTTGTTACATGTGCAGCTCTGTAAAAATCCGTCTGTACCCCTCTTGGCAAATGGACTTCACTGTACCTCAGCGTGTTTGAAAAATACACTTCCCTGGCACCACCCTTTAACCAGGATAGAGACATTGCAGTTCCATGTGAGTCCAGTGTAAAAGGGAGTATCTGCAGGCAGAGAGCAAGAGTAAACAGATGAAAAGCCGCCCACGTCTTGTATCACTAATGTCAAAATGGTTCATCGATAGAAGCCGAAGTATAATTGCCCTTTTTAGAAAATAAGTTAATCAACTGTAATTTCTTGAGGTGGAACTGATTTGGCACAGTTGAATCACAAGGGCCCAATTTCATTGTTCTTGTTTGTGCCTAGCCATATTTTTACCTCATAAAAAGCACCAGTGATTTAAAGAGGCATTTGCTTTCTGAGCAGTCTCTTGCTGTCTTTAGCAATGGCAGAATCAAGCTTTTACAAGGGAAGGAGCTAATACTGGTAGTAATGCATTGATACCATATTGGCCTTGCTGCATTTTAATCAGGTGTTTTCTGTATATTTGTGAAACATGTAAGCGTGCTCCTTAGTATTTTAAGATGATAGGTGTGATCCATTAGACACATAAGAAATGCATTGAAATGCACTATTATTGCATAGCTTTCCTTGTGTTCTTGTAATGAACATGTTCATGTATTTTTACAAGCATGAATTAACTATGATTTACTCAAAATGATAGGAGCAGAAGAATACAGACGCATTATAAATGTAGGCCCACTATGACTGACTTCTCAGTTGTAGGCACTCATCCTTTTATTAATTTACAGCTCATTTGTTGCTCCTTTAAGACAACAACAAAAAAACCCCATCAAAACAAAAGAAGAGTGCCTCAGTACTGAAGAGAGCATGATATGAATGGTACAGTGTTACAGGAGGCAATTCACACATTCATGAATTCTTGCAGAATTTACCACACTTTACCACACATGACTCCAGAAATAACATAGCTGCACATTGTCAGGGACAGAATCAGTAGCTAAACCTAAGAATGTGTTCTCACAGCTTTAGGTGCTTACTGGATGCCACCGATCACTTGTTTAGCTATATTTAAGTTCCCTCTCACATTCATATGTGTGAGTGTGTGTGTATATCCACGCATAAAATGCCCTTCGAATCAGTTGGCAATTTTAAAATTTGATTGCAGTCATGCACCACTTCACGTTTTTAGAACCTTGGGAGGTTTCTTATTACAATTTTCTGATGAATTTTCAAAGCAATGGATTATAGAAGCAGACTGTGTGAAACATTTAAGAATGCGGTTCTTATTTTTGACCTTGAATGTTTGGCATCTCATTAAGTAGCCACAGTACTACTAAAAAAGGACACGAAAACCTGTACGTCTATAGATTTGTATTTTCTTTATTACCATTTTTAATTGGATTTTGAATCTCACGCGTTTACAGTCTTCCACACAGAGGATTTAAGTATTTTTTTTTATGTCTGCAGTTCAAATTGACCACTGATTTAACTAGAAATGTAAGTAACAACAACATAATGTGAATTTGAGTTGAAGTTTTCTTTCTGAAGTCATCTTTTTGTAGAGATTTACTTCCTTCAATTTTTTTTTTCTTTAGGGGGCCAAACCATCTTATTGTGATTGAATGAGATTTTTGTTTTCAGCATCTATTTACCTTTACACTACCTTTAACACTAGGCAACCTCATGTCCTTTTTGTGTACAGCTAATGCCATGCAGGAATAGTAGAGATAGCCCAGACAGACAGTGGAAAACAAGATAAAATAGATTTTAGGGAATGCAGAGTTGGATACATGCTAACTCCTGCTGAGACACCAGGCTGTCATTTCGCTGTGGAGAAGCATTCTAGGTTCAAGAAGAATTAGTTTAGGAAAGGTAGAAATGCAAGGAAATCATCTATTACAACTGCATCTGTGAAGTGATTCATCCCCAGTGTAGATAAAACAGCCTCCAGGTATTTGACACTCCACTGCTGATTTTCACTACCAAAATAATCTTCCTTTCCTTATTTTTTCTTTATATCAGATACCTCCACAAGTTGATTCATGTAAAGTCTGGGAGACACTTAGGTATTCAAGTCTACTGACTATGAGGTGGAGTTATACTGAACTGTGATTTCAAAAAAAGGGCAAACTGACAGAACAATTCACCTTGATGTAAGAGGAGTAGAGTGTCCCTGCTGCTCTCCTCTGCTCACTGCTTACTCATGTGCCAGGTACCACTGAAAATGCCTGTATGAGTCGATTATCAAACCTAAAGTAATGGAAAGGCTATATACTTTTTGTTTCTGGAGTGAGTGATTTGCAGAAAGCTAGAAATGACTACAACCAGTGTAAAGGTGGAACTGGGCATCTAGGAGAGGATGACAATCAGGAGAGGATGGCAATCTTTTGG